GGGTGATCTGACTGCCATAGGAGCTCCTGCACTGGCCATCGCTGAGGACCGGCAGGTTCAGGCACTGCAGCACCGAGGCGTAGTTCACTAGAGCGCACACAGAGGGCAAAGGTCACACAGAGGGCAGGGGTCACACACAGAGGGCAGGGGTCACACACAGGGGGAAAAGGTCACACATGGGGGAAACTATCACACAGAGGGGAAAGGTCTCACAGAGAATAAATGTCATCGCTGAGGACCGGCAGGTTCAGGCACTGCAGCACCGAGGCGTAGTTCACTAGAGCGCACACAGAGGGCAAAGGTCACGCACAGAGGGCAAAGGTCACACAGAGGGCAAAGGGTCACAACCAATGGGGACAGGGGCGAGAGGAAGAAAGAGCGACAGGTGTCGAGACAGATGGACACAGACCACAGAATTACTGCGGTTTATACAGTGTATACTGCATGCCAAAGAAAGAAAAATCTCTTTCCCACATTGCCTTGTCTCTGTTTATCTGCCTGCTTTTCGGACAACAGCACTTCCTCTGTCTCCAGGGAAACAGAGCCCTCCCTCAGACCCCTTCCAGGCTCCACCCCTCACCGTCATTGGTCAGCTGGTTGCCCCACCCGGAGACGAGGCACGGGGTCCCCGCGGTGACGCAGCTGGTCGCCAGGGCGATGGGCTGGACGTACTGGTTGAGGCGTGCCGCCTGCCGCAGTTTGATCAGCATGAAGTCGTTGTCGGTGGTGCGCTCGTTGTAGCCGGGGTGTCGGATGACCTTGGCTGCTGGAATGTGCTGCTCGGAGCCCTCGTCCCGGAACAGGTGGTGCTCGCCCAGGTGCACCTCCAGGCGCGGCGGTCTGGGGGGGGCGGGGAGGGGGCTCAGTGTGTTGGACCGTAAGAGACACAGACACACAAGCACACAGCACGACCCCTGCTGCGACACAGGCGGGCAGAGGACTCGCAGTGTGTAGCAGTGTCTAACAGCGTCCAGCAGTGTGTAGCAGTGTAGCGGTGTGTAGCAGTGTGTAGTGGACACACAACAGGACTCACGGTATGTAGCAGTGTGCAGCTGACACCACCCACCACTCGTTGATCAGGGACCCCCCACACCAGCGCTGCCCGTTGTCGTAGGTGAGGTAGACCTGCCAGGGCTGGGAGTGGGGGCGACACTCGTACCCCCCGATAATCTTGTCATCATCTCCACCAGGGGCGCTGGCCACTGGCACAGAGCACAGAGCCACAGTCACGAGAGATCGAGCACAGAGAGAGTCAGTCTGGACAAGACCTGCGTCATGGTTTTCCAGAAGAAAGTCAGTACTCAGGGAAAGTACAACTTCACACTCAACAACACACTGGAGCAACATCCAGCTACACATATCTCGGTCTCACCATCAGCTCATCTGGGAGTTTTGAGCTGGCAGTGAAGGCACTGAGAGAGAAGGCACAGTCTTCCCCAAATTAACAAATCTTATCCCAGAATTCACACACCTGCCAAAATCACAGCAACTCCCAATCCTGCTACTCCTGTCCCAGCCTGAGGAACAGACAGTGAGCC